TTCGATCATCCAGAGAGGCCCTGCTCTCGATCCCACCAGGATCGCAGGCGCGATTGGTGGGGACGAGGGAGAGGGCCTTTTCGGTGGTGGACCCTCGACTCTGGAACTCACTCCCTGAAGACATCAGACAGGCCCCAACTTTGGCAGTCTTCAGGAGGAGCTTGAAGACATGGCTGTTCCAGTGTGCCTTCCCGGAATAATGATCCCATAGCACTTTGTCCTCCAAAGCACTGGTTCTCTGGTTGAAGTAGTCTGCAGTGCCTTTCATGTTCCTTGATTCGTGTTTGGGCGATGCTGCGTTTGATGGTCCCTATGTAGACTTGTCCACCTATGTAGGGACCACCAAACGCAGCATCGCCCAAACACAAATCAAGGAACATGAAAGGCACTGCAGACTACTTCAACCAGAGAAGTCAGCCATAGCAGAGCACTTGATAAACCAACCTGGACACAGCATATTATTCGAGAACACAGAAATGCTGGATCACTCCAACAACCACCATGTCAGAGTACACAGAGAAGCCATTTAAATCCACAAGCATGTGGACAATTTCAACAGAAAGGAGGAAACCATGAAAATGAACCAAATCTGGCTACCAGTATTAAAAAAACTCTAAAATTAGAACAGCAAAACAACAGAGAGGAAACAAACAAGGACATCTAATCACCTCTCAATAAAAGATTGCTCCAGGCACTGCCAGGCAATCAAATGCTAATCAAGGTGGCCAGTTGAAACATTTACACCTAGCTCCAGCAGACAAGAGTCCTTTGTCTCACCCTAGTCATTCCACAGATATATAAACCCTTTTCCCTAGTTCCAACAGACCTCACTACCTCTGAGGATGCTTGCCATAGATGCAGGTCTGGTGGGGACGAGAGACAGGGCCTTCTTTGTGGTGGCCCCCCAGCTGTGGAACTCCCTCCCTAGGGATATTAGATCAGCCCCCTCCCTCCTCCCTCTTCGAGCAAGCATTCGGAATCCCGGAGTAAACAGACAAACTGGAGTTGGAAATTGACCCAGGAATGGCCAAGACAATGTAACGGATGAAGATTTGAACGAGAGGACATAGTTTCTTTTTAAATTGTTTATTATGCACTGTCGTTTATGTTTAATTGCACTTGATGTTTTTGCTTTATTAATGTATGTAATTTGTTTCAGCATCGAATTGTGCCGACTGTGTATATCGCTCTGAGTCGCCTTCGGGCTGAAATGGGCGGGATAGAAATAATGTAAATAAATAAATAAATAAATAAATAATGCAGGCGAAATGTCAGGAGAAATGCCTCTAGAACATGGCCATATAGCCTGAAAAAACCTACAACAACCCAGTGATTCCGGCCATGAAAGCCTTTGACAATACAGAGCAGGAATAGCCCCTACAAGTGCTTGGTGCTGCCAAGTGTGGGAGCACCCTAACCCTAACCCTGAGCCTACCCAGAAAGAGACATATGCATGCCATAAAGTCCTTAAATCTTAGAAGGGAGAAGTCTGAAAACCTTAAATGTGTTCTTGTAGCAGGCCTGTAGCCAGGATTTTGATACGGGGAGGGGGGGGCTGAGTCTGAGTGAAAGAGGGTCTGCCCTAGCAAACCTTTTGTATTGTTATCCCAATACCCCCATGCATATGAGATATATTGAGCATGGTGATCAGATCATGATATGAATAAACATAACAGTTTAAATAATGTACCAGTAAGACCTTCTCGCAGACCACCATGAGAATTTCGGAGGGGGGGGGGCTGAAGCCCCCAAAGCCCCCCCCCCCCCGGCTACATGCCTGTCTTGTAGTATCCCTTTAAAATAGAAACACCCAAATCTGTGACCTTGAATGTGCAAAACATCTGTGCTATGCATATGTACAATGTTTTAAAGGCACAGAATGGTATGCCAGGATTTGAGTTTACAAAGTAGGACAGACTTGTTTCAAATGCCATGCACAGAATTTCCATTCCGGCTGCTCCTTTGATACATTGGTCAAGCAGTTGCGGAAGTTGAAATACACACACACACATACACAATATTGGATTTAATTCATTCTTTTAAGAGGGGGTCAATTTTTTGACAAACATGGTTGCAGAGATATGGCGATTTCAAATCGAGATAATGATGACTGGCTTCTACTAGTCCAATTGAGTAGTTATGCAAGAAATTATCCATTATCCATAGTTGCACAGATATCTTTTCTTTGCAGAGTATTCCTCCTTCGGGGAAAAAAAGGTCTAAGGCAGTTACGTCTCATTAAGAGGGTCTGCTATGGACTGATTTAACCTTTTATTCCATTCTAATAGCCACAAAGTGTTGCTTTAAAACAACCCTCAAACACATATAACAAATATAGAGAAGGGCATGTCTTGACCTTCAGTTTCTACAGAGCGGAGAGCAGAACTGTCTCTGTCTATTTAGCATATGTTTCATTTTAATATGAAAAAAATTTCAAAGGCCAACTCATTATAGTTTCAGCTTCTGCTTCTTACACAAAAATACTGAGAAAAATAACACCTCAAAACAGGTTTCTAAAAAGAACAATCCTCAAGAACTGTGGAACATTTGTCTTCAGATCAAGAACACTCTTTTCAGTTTAATGATGATAAAATAAACATATCGTATATTTGGGAAATTTGAAAATAGAAGGCAATTCTCATGGATGTCACTACTTGTGTTTACTGATGGTCTCTGCTCTCTTTTTAAGTAACTGGGGATATTGTTCAAATTACCGTATATACTCGAGTATAAGCCGACCCGAAAATAAGCCGAAGGATCCTAATTTACCACAAAAAACTGGAAAAACATATTGACTCGAGTATAAGCCCAGGGTGAGAAATGTAGCTGCTACTGGTAATCATCAGTAGGTTAAATGTTTTTGAGTATTTACACAAAACTGTAATTTAAGATAAGACTGCCCAACTCTGATTCAACCATTATTTTAACCTCCTTCAATGTAAATGGGCTTACCTATTATTGTTCTACAAATTTTCAGTTTTTCTCAGTTACGGAAACGAAATGTGCCGTTTCTTAATAAATTTAACATGCTGAATTCAAATATAATAATTAAATGTGTTAATTGGCTCTGGTTTTTATGCAACAGCTATTTCAATTTTCTCCACAATAGGTAATTCGTTAATATTATGATAATGCGCCTAACCTTACTGCATGTATATAAACCGTGAATATTTACTAAATTTTAGTCAAATTATATTGCCAATAGTTTATACATGAGAAATATTTATTTAATTAGTCTATTGTTTATGTTTGTGCAGCAAGAAACTATATTAGTAGGCCTAATGCAGTTGAAAAGTCTGAAAGTTTAAATGTCGCTTTAATCGTGACTTTAGTTTATATCCTGTTTGCTTCTCTTGACCTTTCTTTTGTATTCAAGGAAAGGATTGTCTCTTACAATGCTCCAGCAGTAGTCTGACAGCATTGACGGAGGTATTTGCCTTGATATCTTTTTTCCATAATGCTTTATTTACACACGTGCGAGGCATAACTACAGTAAAAAGAACAATGTAAAATGATGTTTAACGATACTGTCTCAGTCTTCAACTGACTGACCCTCACCGTTCAAAAGTCTGGCCTTATATAGGGCTTTCTGGCTTTTGCACACGGCACTAATACTGCGTCATCAAACTTTCTAGAATATTCTAGAATCTTCCATAGTGTAAGTCGCAACATGCATTTTTTCAACCATACGTGATCACGTGATTGCTTATATCATAAAAACTAGAGCCAATATACATTTTTAAATGTCATTTTCATTTTCAGCACCCCAAAATCATAAAAGAACAACTATTTTCAGGCCCGCAACTTTTTCTCCGTTGAACAGTGTTACCTTCTCAAGGAGAAACAATTGCAGGTGTAACCAAAAATTCTGTTCTTTCTAGGACTGAATTGAGAAAGGCCGACATTGCATCCCAAAGTTGTGATAATAATGATAATATAAAATAATAATAATGTAAAGTAAAATATAAATGTAATATAATAATAAATAATATAAAATAATACATGTAATAAAATAATACTAATAGCAGAGTAAAATAATAAATAACCTTGACTCGAGTATAAGCCGAAGGGATTTTTTTCAGCCTAAAAAAGGGCTGAAAAACTAGGCTTATACTCGAGGATATACAGTATTCTGTGCCAATTGGAAATTTGCTGGAATTTGTGCAGTTTCAGATTTTTATGTGTCTTCTAACTCTCTGAAACAAGAAGCTCAAAACCCACTGTTAGTTGAATATGGGTTCCATTAAAATGAATTAAAACAAAAAGGTTCCGTTGATTTCTATGGGAACTAAGTGCAACTAGCTTGTCTGGACTCAATATGCGTATGGGGTTTCTTGGTAACAGGAGCAAGAACAGCAATTGTAACAATACTTCTGACAAACTCCTGTTTGCTTTAATGGGATTTGTGCAGGGAAAGGGCTCAATGGATTACTCCAGTAATTGTAAATAAACTGTGCTTATGCAGATTTCTGTAATCTTGTTATCTGAAGACCATACTTACAAAAGGTTGAGTAATCAAAGGGTGATGCCAAAATAAACTGGAAAGCCATCTGCTTTTATACTTCCTATGTTAACCAAGTGTCGAGTTAAATGTGGATTGATGTCCATATTTTTGACATAGTGGGGGTGACCATCTGATTTACTCTCACAATCCCATGGGAAACTAATTTCCTTTCTTGTTCTTACTTCAGAAATTAATGTGTGAATTGAATAGTCTGTCTTGTTTTACTGGTTTGTCTCCTGTGCTTTTACAATATCCAAGGCATCAGGCTATACCAGAAAATTACCTTATTAGAGTCTTACGACAGCAAAGTGAATGAGGCTCATAGATCACTGCTATATCAGAGCTAGAGTTATCTCTATTTTATATTAATTATGAAATTCTTTTTTCCCTCTGATTTATTTCTGTCTTATGTAGGGAGATATCTGCTTCTACTTTACTCACAGTGAAAACTCTCAGAAGGGAACTGTTCTGGTACGGCTGTACCAGGAGCTCCAGCTTCTTTTTCTTTCTTTGAGTGTTTGCATGTATTTCAAAGTTCCATGCATTTTGCAATAAGGTGGCTTCCCTTGTGTAGTGAATTTTATGATCTATGTTTTATTTTTGGTGTGTAGCTCTAGGTTACAATATGGTTGAAAGGGAAGAATTGGCTCAAATAGGGTAGCAGCAGTGAAGGCAGGATTAATTTGCATATGTGAAGCCGATTGGTCATATGCAGATGAGATTATGTCAGGATTTGAAAAGGCCGCTGAGCCAGAATGGCACTTACAGAACTGAACATTCTATGGGGGTGGAGTCAAGTTTGAAAGAGACAATTAGAGATTGTCAGTTAAAAAAGAAAAAAAAGTAGGAGCAGTTAGGAACCTCGGTTAGAGAGAAGCAGTTGGGAAATGGACCTCAAGGTTTAAGGAAAAATAAAAGGCGCCAGTGTGGCCTAAGTCAGAATATAGTTCAGCCAAGAGTATATGAAGAAAGTAACATTTTTGTTGATGTGAAACAGTGAGAGTTTCATAGGAAAAGTTAACCAAGTGAATGATACTGAATGTAAGACTCGAGACTGTAACAAAACACACATGTAACCATAAAGCATTGGAACCAGAAACTATAAATAAACTTTGTTACTTCGTTGCTTACCAGAGTGTCTCAAGCCTGTGATATAAAGCACAAAGGTTAAACAGCTCACAAGAAAGCCCCAGCCAATTTAAAAGGGAAACTGCAGCAGTAAAGGCGGTAAAGGGATTTAGAAAGGAAATTCTTTTCCCCCTCATTGAGGCAAAGGAAAGACACCTGTAAAAGGACAGAAACAGAGTATGTCCCAGGTATTAAGGTGGTGACAGAAAACTACATATGTGGTGTGGCATCACGTATTCAGTTATGTGCAATGTTACGCCCCACACCTTGGTTTGCAATTATAGGGCCAATGACCCATCAATCATCATTAGGTTCTTTAGTTCTGCCCCTTTTTCTGGGTTAAGGAGGGAAAAAGGGGACCTCTAGTTCAATTCTCACAGAGAAGCCTTTCGTACAGGGTGTGAGTCAGTTCCACCTGTAGAAAGCTTCGTCTTTTACAGCTTTTGCTGGGGGAATTCAGTCCCACAGCTCTACAGAGAAGCATAGCTTTTGCTGGGGGAATCCAGTTCCACAGCTTTACAGCCAGCCTGCGGTTGGGAATTGAAGACCTTCTTTCCTCTTGGAAATCTACAAAAGGACTCTGTTTGGTAAGGACCACTTGCGGCAGCCATAACGCAATTTGGACCGGGTGTAGGGGCCCATGCCAGCAGAGCCTAAGACAGATTGCCCAGGTAGAAGTCAAAGATTTCCCTGATAGAGAAGAAACAGTTCACGAAGATAGTTGCCTGTCCCTTGTGGACAAGATTAAGAAAGCCACCAGTTGATTCAAAGCCATGAAGTTTTTGTTTGATTTATTGAAGACCTAAGCACTAATAAAGAACTTTGTTAAACTTTCCAAGTTTCTAAAGACTTTGTTTAGGGAAATCTATAGGGCTTCTAATCCAAGGCATCCCCGGCATCCCGTTGGGCATACAGAGTTTAAAGACGACACCAAATTGGGTGGGATAGCCAATACTCCAGAGGATAGGAGCAGAATTCAAAACGATCTTGACAGATTAGAGACATGGGCGAAAACTAACAAAATGAAGTTCAACAGGGACAAATGCAAGATACTCCACTTTGGCAGAAAAAAACGAAATGCAAAGATACAGACTGGGGGACAATGCCTGGCTTGAGAGCAGTACGTGTGAAAAGGATCTTGGAGTCCTCGTGGACAACAAGTTAAACATGAGCCAACAATGTGATGTGGCGGCAAAAAAAGCCAATGGGATTTTGGCCTGCATCAATAGGAGCATAGTGTCTAGATCTAGGGAAGTAATGCTACCCCTCTATTCTGCTTTGGTTAGACCACACCTGGAATATTGTGTCCAATTCTGGGCACCACAATTCAAGAGAGATATTGACAAGCTGGAATGTGTCCAGAGGAGGGCGACTAAAATGATCAAGGGTCTGGAGAACAAGCCCTATAGGGAGCGGCTTAAGGAGCTGGGCATGTTTAGCCTGAAGAAGAGAAGGCTGAGATAGAGAAGGCTGGTTATAAATATGTGAGAGCAAGCTTGTTTTCTGCTTCCCTGGAGACTAGGACACGGAACAATGGCTTCAAACTACAAGAAAGGAGATTCCATCTGAACTTCCTGAGGAAGACTTCCTGACTGTGAGAGCCGTTCAGCAGTGGAACTCTCTGCCCTGGAGTGTGGTGAAGGCTCCTTCTTTGGAAGCTTTTAAACTGAGGCTGGATGGCCATCTGTCAGGGGTGATTTGAATGCAATATTCCTGCTTCTTGGCAGGGGGTTGGACTGGATGGTCCACGAGGTCTCTTCCAACTCTTTGATTCTATGATTCTATGAATCTTTGCCCCAGTAACTGTTCCAGTCAGAATTCTACAAGGGACACTCTTTTCTAAATGTGTTTTTCCTGTTGCCGTTAAAGGCATCACTTCACAAATGCATTACAGCAGTCTAAACAGGAGGCCACTAGAGCTTGGATAAGTGTGGCAAGAGTATTAAACAATAGGTGATGGGACTACTTGACTGTATTTTATTTAACAAATTTAGCTTAAATGAAATAAATCCTTCATGCAGAGAGATATTAAACATCTGCCAGATGAGCTCTTTGATGCCCAAAATGCAAAACCTCAAAGTCCTCCATTTATAGAAAGTATTACCTGGCCATTCAAACTGAGAAATGATTTGAGACACATAAAAGCCTTCCACAATAAGCAGATCATTAAGTCACTGTCTCCACATGAGAACAATTTGCAAAAGAAAGCAACAAGCATGATAAAATTGAAATTTTACTTCTTTTCAAAGGAACCTGCACTAGATACCTACAACATCAGAAAAAGAGGAAAAGAGAGGTTTTTTTTTTTAAAAAAAAATATCACAATCCTGTGTGCAAAGAGATCTTTGCTATTCACATAGTTCTACAAAAAGTGGGCGCTAGAAACGATATCATACGAAAGCTGACTGGCACAACCTGGGGATCACAACCAGATACAGTGAAGACATCTGCCCTTGCGCTATGCTACTCTGCTGCTGAGTATGCATGCCCAGTGTGGAACACATCTCACCACACTAAAACAGTGGATGTGGCTCTTAATGAGACATGCCGCATTATCACGGGTGTCTGCGCCCTACACCACTGGAGGAATTACACTGCTTAGCCGGTATTGCACCACCTGACATCCGCCGGGAAGTAGCAGCCAATAGTGAAAGGACCAAGGCAGAGACATCTCCAGCTCATCCCCTGTTTGGGTATCAGCCAGCACGTCAATGACTTAAATCTAGAAATAGTTTTCTAAGATCTACAGAGACACTCGCTGGAACACCTCAGCAAGCGAGAGTCCAAAAGTGGCAGGCTCAAACCCAGAACCTCAACCAATGGCTGATACCAGATGAGAGACTCCCCCCTGGGCACACACAGGACTGGGCGACTTGGAAGGTGTTGAACCGACTGCGCTCTGGCACCACAAGATGCAGAGCCAACCTTCAGAAATGGGGCTACAAAGTGGAGTTCACGACATGCGAGTGTGGAGAAGAGCAAACCACTGACCACCTGCTGCAATGCAACCTGAGCCCTGCCACATGCACAATGGAGGGCCTTCTTGCAGCAACACCAGAAGCACTCCAAGTGGCCAGATACTGGTCAAAGGACATTTAATCAACTACCAAGCTCACAAATTTTGTATTCTGTCTGTTTGTTTGTTTTGTTCTGTTAGAAATGTAATATAATCGACTGGTTGCCCTGACACGACAAATAAATAGTGTAAAACCAGCAGAGACCTTTTCATACTTTAAGCCAAGGGTCCTCGAACTGAGGCCTGGGGGCTGGATATGGCCCTCCAAGGTCATTTACCTGGCCCTCGCTCAGGGTCAACCTAAGTCTGAAATGACTTGAAAGCACACAACAACAACAACAACACCAATCCTATCTCATCAGCCAAAAGCAGGTCCACACTTTCCATTGAAATAATAATAAGTTTATCTATATACATAAAAATGTAATGTTCGTTTGTGGGATTAACAGAACTCAAAAAACCAGTGGGCGAATTGACACCAAATTTGGACAGCATACACCTAACAACCCAATGTATGTCCTTCACTCAAAATTTTTTGATTTTGTCATTTGGGAGTTGTAGTTCTTGGGATTTATAGTTCGCCTACAATCAAAGCATTCTGAACTCCACCAATGATAGAATTGAACCAAAGGTGACACACAGGACTCCCATGACCAACAGAAAAGACTAGAAAGGTTTGGTGGGCATTGACCTTGAGTTTGGGAATTGTAGTTCACCTACATTCAGAGAGCACTGTGGACTCAAACAATGATGGATCTGGGCCAAACTCTACACAAATACTCAATATGCCCAAATATGAACACTGGTGGAATTTGGGGAAAATAGAATCTTGACATTTGGGAGTTGTAGTTCCTGGGAATTATTGTTAACCTACAATCAAGGAGCATTCTGAACCCCACCAACAACAAGCAATCTTCCCACACAGAACCCCCATGACCAACAGAAAATGCTGTGTTTTCTGGTGGTCTTTTGCGACTCTTCTGACATCCTCTCATGACACCCCCCCCCCCCCCGGGATCCCCACCCACAGGTTGAGAAATGCTGCCTTAAGGCCATCCAGTTGAACTCCCTTCACCAGGGCAAGAAAACATAAAGCCCTCCTGACAAAGGCCCATCAAGCCATAGGTAAAGGTAAAGGTAGTCCCCTGACATTAAGTCCAGTCATGTCTGACTCTGGGGTGTAGTGCTCATCTCCATTTCTAAGCCAAAGAGCCAGCGTTGTCCGTAGACACCTCCAAGGTCATGTGGCTGGCATGACTGCATGGAGCGCTGTTACCTTCCCACCGGAGCAATACCTGTTGATCTACTCACATTTGCATGTTTTCGAACTGCTAGGTTGGCAGAAGCTAGGGCTGACAGCGGAAGCTCACGCCGCTCCCCGGAATCGAACCTGCGACCTTTCGATCAACAAGCTCAGCAGCTCAGTGCTTTAACCCACTGCGCCACCGGGGGCAAGCCACAGATATAGATAAATATATATGATTCACACACACACACACTCACACACTCACAAATGTTTATGACAGATATAGTACCATAGATTGAAAGGGACCTCAAAAGAGGGACAATTATATATTGCATGTTCCAGAGTAGGCAAACCAGACAATCTTTACATCAGCACTGACAAAGAAACAATGAATAATACTGTTTACCCACAAGGATAGAGACATTACATATATTAGAAACCAACACTTTCTCATTACTTTATTTTCCAGATCGCCAGACAGGGCCACAGCAACGTGTGGCAGGGGACCGCTAGTATTTGTTAAAATTATTCTTCATTTTAGTTATTATATTGTTTGTAAGTGTCTTTTGCACTACAAATAAGATATGTGCAGTGTGCATAGGAATTCATTCATGTTTTTTTTCCAAATTATAATCTGTCCCTCCAACAGTTTGCGGGACTGTGATCTGGACCTGTTTAAAAAGTTTAAGGACCCCTGCTTTAAGTCATAACTGTTTATTTATATGTTTGAGAGTAAGCCATTAGACCCAGTAAGCTTTAAATTGGGAGTAGATAATAATATTATGTTGCCCTTAAAATTTTGTTGGACCAACTTCCATCATCCCTTGCTAGCATTATAAATCAACTGACACATGGAAGGCTACAGTTGCTTTCCTGTGTTATAAATCCTAATAAACGTACATAGGAATGTCGAAGGCTTTCATGGCTGGAATCACTGGGTTGTTGTAGGTTTTTCCGGGCTATATGGCCATGTTCTAGAGGCATTTTCTCCTGACGTTTCGCCTGCATCTATGGCAAGAATCCTCAGAGGTAGTGAGGTCTGTTGGAAGTAGGAAAATGGGTTTATATATCTGTGGAATGACCAGGGTGGGACAAAGGACTTTTGT